AAGCTTCTGAAAGGGGTTTCGGGTACCCCCATCCAACCATTTGGATGGGGGTACCTGAAACCCCTTTCAGAAGCTTCAGCCACTTCAGGTCATTTGAGTAATTTCAGGTGGGGATCTGAAACCGCTGAAGTGGCTGAAGCTTCTGAAAGGGGTTTCGGGTACCCCCATCCAACCATTTGGTGGAGACTTGAAGCGGTTGAAAGTGGTCTGTAAATAGTGTGTGTTATTAACCATCTCTCTCCGATATACTTTGGTAAGGCGCCATGAAGATTGGATGCTTTGTCATTGCTGTTTGTGCTTCGTTGTGTTCTCGTCTGCTGCCCCCCCTCCCTCCCCCCATTTGCAGTGCCGTTCCACAAAGTTAGCTTTGGTATTGTATAACTTAGCTTCCTTGTCAACGAAGTTAATTTTGGTGTTGTGTAATTGAGCTGCCTTGTCAGCGTTGCAATGGCTGGACACTCAAGAGCAAAACACACACACACACACACACACACACACACACACACACACACACACACACACACACACACACACACACACACACACACATACTAAGTTTTAAATCAATTATATTAGGAACCTGGACAATCCCCACACATTTACACATACGCATAGTAGCGTCGCATACCCTTTCCACCCCTTATACGCAAGCTTGTCCCCCCAAGCATATAACCCCTTACCCCTTCAAAAAATATATATAGACCCACTCGGCGGCTGAGGAATTGACCTATTGAACCTTCCAAAAAAAAACCAACCTTTCCTCCTACTACCTTACCTGGTACCGCCCATGCTCACCCCCTATTTTTTTTTTTTCCGCCGGCCTCGATCATGGGACACAAGTGAACGTCCGATAAAAAATATTTTCCAAATTTGTTTCTATTCCTCCACAACACGACAACTTATGGATACAAGGTCACCTCGCAAAGAGTAAGGGCCTGCACTACTCTAGACTCTCGAATTTTCGAGAGTGGGTCGTGGCTGCACTTACTCTCGATCGAGAAACTCTCGAAACCCGATCGAGAGTTGTCAGAAGGCACTCTATGATGCAACTCTCGAAACGTCGAGTCTCTCGCCTGCAAAAACGGAATTTGCAAGTGTCTTCAAGAGTTGCCCGCCGACAGGCTCGTTTTTTTAGAGTGGACCTCTTGTCCCAGCAGCCAGACTTCGTCCCGTAGTGCAGTGGTGCAACTCTTCTGTCGAGTAGGACGATGCCCAGGGTTTTGAGAGTTCACGTAGTGCAATAGGTTATAGAGTAAGTGCAGCGAAGGCGGGTATTTCGAGAGTCTCGCCTCTCTGACAATGTTAGTCGAACTCTCGAAATATTTCGAGAGCCTAGAGTAGTGCAGCGAGGCCCTTAATGAAGACACGCTAGGAGAATGACAGGGAACTTGCAATGCTCCGAACAAGCATCGCCGTCTGAAGACAAATGAACTTCCGTCATAACCGCCGACTACGGATAGCACTCTAAGACCGAATGACGACGACCACTCTCCGAACAAGCATCGCCGTCTGAAGACAAATGAACTTCCGCCATAACCGCCTACTACGGATAGCGCTCTAAGACCGAATGACAACGACCACTCACACCGCATATCCCCCCTATTAAGCCCCCTCACCCAACCAGTCCATCAGGGAGTCTAGAATAGTAGACCCGCTGCAAAACGACGTGGACGCGAAAAACGCCCCTCAATACAACCACCCTCCGCCCCCAAAAAAACATCTCCATTCCCCCATACCCTTTGCCATCCGCCGATGCAATCTGATTACTGACACTCCCCCCAAAAAAACCTCCCACAATGTCCTGCCAACGCACCCAAACAACCCTCCACATCCAATCCCCTCCTTACTTTACCCGTTCCCCTTCAACCATCCACCTCCAATATTTCTACTTCCTTCTACTATCCTCTTCTCTTCCTTCGTGCGTTGTGATCACTGTCGCATGCAAGTCCCTCGTTCTCCCATTCAGAGCTTCGTGGCTCAAAGTGCAGTTGTCCTTCGCTGCTTAGCACTCAGGTTCGGTACTGTGACAAACAATTTTCTGTAATCGTGCGATTTCCTGCGCCAAGCTGCCTCAGGGAAATTGATGGGTCAGATGAATGAGTCATGGAAGGAGGGGTGGGTCGGGCAAATTGCATGGATGCCCTCGTGTCTTTTTGTTTTTGTGGGAATCTGTAGGGTCGGCGCGAAAAAATCTCGTGCCAACGATTGAGTAACCGCGCCTTAGCGAGCGTGACGGATGACGGTGGTCATGACGTCTTTCTTGTTCTGGCGAGAGCACTTGGAATTTTGGCGTGCAATCATCGCGCGGGAATATCGTTTTTGAATTTTCAACTTACGACGAGTTCCCACCGGCTTGCGGAATTGTTTTTGTTTCTCTTCGGAAACGTCCTTTTGCAATTAGGACTTAGGCTAGGAATTTAGGTACTATGAATTTTGTTGCGCCACGTTTCTCACTCGCGCACATCTTGCGGCACTAGGAACTGGGCTCTGACTGGATCGCGCCTTTAATCTTGTGTAACTGTTGTTTTTGGCGGGCGCAATTATACATGTATCTTTCTTCTTTCTTGGTTTCCTCATGTTTGCATGCCTCCTTCTTCTTTCTCTTGCATGCTTAATGCTCTATTCTAATTGGCCTGAAAGCTTGTATGACCGGATCGATGCGTGGAGTGCGGCTATGAACCCCACACTGCGACCTGGCCATGCAGACGTAGGCACTTCCTCTCTTCTCCTTCTGACCACTTGGACTTAATCCCGTATCGATCGCGCAAGCGTGCATGCTATAAATTTCGCAAGCACGATTAGTTTGTTCTCTATGAACTTTGGAGTTAGCGCGATCAATGAGGGTCGGCGAACGAGTCAGCTCGAGAGGTGAGTCAAAGAGAGAGTTTGGCGATCCGACGAGCTGGTGTCGGGTATGCGGGGTTGACATGCGGGCCGTGACGGACTGTGGCGCATGGGCGAACCTG